CTGTATCTCCAAAAATCTGTTTCAGAAAATGCTCACATTTCAGTCCTAGGGGTGGGAAATACAAAACATTTTCTGGGGGAGAATGCCCCCAGACCCCCTACTAGTACATTCGATGACATACCAAACTTTTTGTCACCAACAACCATCTGTCATCTCTTCGCACTCAGTATAGTATGGTCCCTTTTTGAAGATGCTAGGGTTATGTTGATGTTAGGGTTATGGTAGGATAAATGTTGCATTGCAGAGTAGTAACACATAATATTTTTTTTTAATTAATCATATATGGTTGAATCATATTAACCAGGGTAAAACATCATGAGCTAGACTAACACAGATTATCCTAATATCTAGCTTTACTTGCAACGCACACCTTTCATTGCTGTTAATTTTTCAATCCACACTGGGAGCATAGAATAAAGATCCATATAGAAGGGCCACTTACGTCGGAAGCTTTGAAGTTTCTGTCCTCGCGCATGTCGCATTACGCATGTTGGCCGCCCTTTTCCTAGCCAGTCAATGACATTTTCTGGCCAATAAACACGCTGTACTGGCTGGCTGCTCCGCCTTCTGGGCAGTAAACTGCATATTTTTGCATAAAAAACCGAGGACACGTTGCACCACTGAGTGGCCCTTCTGATACTGATCTTTATTCTGTGCTGGGGGGGGTCAGAAAAATTTCTACTTTTATGAGGGGGAAGGCACAAAATGTTTGCCTTCAGTCTGGAGGGGGGGGGGTCAAAAAAGTTTTCAACCTTTATTTTCCCCATTTTACCCCGCTCCCCATATATAATGACCACTCCCTAATTTCATAATAATTTCATATTTGATACTAATGTGAACTTTTCATATATGTAAACAAATACGGAACTAAAATTCCATCTATAATAATATATATGGCTATACTCAAGGTGGCACGTTACAGTTTTTAAAAGAATGGAAATTCACGATTTAGATGCGTATTTTTAATTTGGACAATTATTACTTGTTGACAAACAAAAAGTACCTTACTTATATAAAACAACATCTACAGAGTTTGAATTTTTGCAAAAAAGTTACGCAACTGCCTTTGCTATGGCAACAATGAAGTTTCAAGATGGCGGTTTTTTTTTGCTTTAAAGTAATTTAACTCGTAAACGACATCGGTGGCCATCCAAATTTTATTTTAAAAATGGTTTCGCTTAATATAATCAATTATTTTGATTATTAAAAAAATTTTGTGGACCCGAAATTTTTAAAATTGCGTAAGGGTGATTATTCATAATAATTTTTTTGGCTCCATTTTATTAAAATAAAATTGGGGGGTCACCGATGTGGTTTACGAGTTAATTTAAATTACTTTAAAGCCAAAATATCCGCCATCTTGAAACGTCATTGTTGCCATAGCAACGGCAGTTCCGTGCAAAAATTCGAACTCTTTAGATGTTGTTTTATATAAATAAGGTACTCTTTGTTTATCAACAAGTAATAATTGTCCAAAAATACGCATCTAAATCGTGAATATTTCATTTTTTCAAAACTGTATTGAGCCACCTTTAATAATCAGTGCTTTCCTCAAACATTTTACTGTAAAATTCTGCGATGAAATATAAGCACTTATACACATTAAAAAATGTTCGACGACGTTTCTACGTTGCAGAACGTCATTATCAAGCCAAAGTTTGTAAAAATGTTCAGATTTACTCAGAGATAGTAACATGCATGCATGACAAACACTAAGATAGTAACTACATGTCAAACAAATTAAAAATGGAGTCACTTTGAATATTCAAAGTAAGGCCAACTAAGATTTGTTATATAAATGTATAAAATTTTCTCTCGGTAATTTCCATGATACTAGATCGATCGCTTTTGAAGCAATTTAAAACATTCGCAGTGCGTGTTTTATCAGACCTAATTAAAGATAATATTCGGCTTCACCTCGTATCTTTATAAGGTTGTTTAATTTAAGATTGTTAAGGTGACAACAGGGGCGAAACTAGCCTCTTTTAATTCTGGGGGTATCTGTTAAAATTGCCATGCAAAAGCCGATGATGCCCTGCAGCAAATTTTTATTTTTGGCCACTACTTTTCCCAAAATCATACATGACATAAATCCGTACATAAATCCGTGAAACCCTTATTTTTGGACCAATATCTGTAAAATTTAGGTCTATAAATTCTGTTCAATTCCCTCTGGAAGCCCTGTAAGTTAATTAATAACTCAACATTCTATTATTTCAAATCTTTGATTGCCCTGCCAATTCAGATGATTCGTCCTGCCAATCCAGATGATTCGTACTTTTGGGGGGGGGGTGTCACACCGCCCATAACCCCCTCAAGTTTCGCCCCTGGGTAACAATCGTATCAAATGTACTCGGCAACTGGAATTTTATCGGAATTTCATTATAACCATGAACCATCAAATAAAAAAATAAACACATTACTTACAGTTTAGGTCGGTCCATACTAAAAAATATTTTTGTTATTATAAATTTAAAGTTTATTTACCTGCACATTTTCATTTATAACAATATCTTTCACGTCCTCATAAAGATTCTCGTTGATGAAAGATCTGCGTTAAAATAGTAAGATATACTTGTAAAAACCAGTTTCATTTTATTCTGAGACCGCAATCGACCAACGACAAAATTCGCCGTTGGCTCGAGCGGGATTTGAACTCGCTAGACCGCCGCTCTACCCATTGAGCTATCGAGTCAACGGGGATTGGTAGCGAGTCTTATCCAATTTAAATGTACGAAATATTTTTGTGACGACCTAACGCTTGTCTTAGAGGACGCGCAGTGTTTCAATTCTATTTCAGAACCATCCTCAGAGATACGAAATGACTTGAGTGAGGATTTGAATTGACATCTCGTACGGAATAAATCACTACTTAAAGTGAGGTGAATTGATTTTGATCCAGTCCAAGGTCTGAATTAATTTTGACCAGTCCTAGGAATCAGTATTGTCATGTGAGCAAAATAAAGCAATATGGTTGGCTACTTTACTCATGAATTATTATGAATTTTATTTTTTACTTTTGCATTTTTAATATTCTGAAAGTAGGTGAGATTTTGCGCAAGTTGAAAATGACTTTGACTTTATATGTCTTTGGTAGCAAGGAATATCCCTTATTTTTCCTTTCACATGTGTAATGTTTACTTTGCCTGTGGAACTAACATTTAATATTTTTATATACTATATTGTATAGTTCACTGTACCTGTTCAATATCCTGGCTCTTTGCACGTTAACTTCTTCCAGGTTTTCGACAATGATCTTCAATTCCTGTACATCAATACCAATCTTCGAAAATTCTTCTTGCAAACGCTTTTCATTCTTCCAGAGTCATGATCAGCTAACACCTCAACAAATCTTTCATCTGTATAACACTGCACTAGTACATGAATATATTCTGGATTGATAATCTGAACTTCTTGCTCATCTCTGGCACCACCAAGTACTTTCAAAATAACACCGTCCAAAAGCTGTGCAACCATCTTACTAGTACGGTAGATACCTCGTAGTTTGGCTCCGTTCATATTAATGACTTCGCCCCTTGTCATTTGGACATTATCACTATTGAAGGAGATCGAAATACTTCCACCATATGATGAAGAAGCAACTGTCACCTCATTTGTCATTCTAGCGTAATTTGGTGATTCAGCCATGATAAAATATGATACCTTCTATAAATCAAACAGACGAGATATATAAGTTTTATCGTAGAAATATATGATTTACTGTCCAACAAAATTTCACACCATTATTTTTACACTGCATTATAAAGAAAATTCAAAATAACTAACTATCTTAGCCTGTTTTTTCCTTGAGATATTTCACGATCTTTACTATGACGTCATATTGCATATAATGGCTTTCTAAGACATGTTATATGCGAACAGATTCAAATTTGTTGAAATATAATATAAATTTGTATTATGTTTGGCATAACACAAGTGAACGGTTTTAATATTTCGATATACATGATATCATAAATTACTTTAAAACCAAAATATTGGCCATCTTGAAACGTCATTGTTGCTATAGCAACGGCAGTTGCGTAACGTTTGTGCATAAATTCAAACTCTTTAGATGTTGTTTTATATAAGTAAGGTACTTTTTGTTTATCAACAAGTAATAATTGTCTAAAAATACGCATCTAAATCGTAAATATTTCATTTTTTTAAACTGTATTGAGCCACCTTAAATAATCGGTGCTTTCCTCAAACATTTTACTGTAAAATTCTGCGATGAAATATAAGCACTTATATACAAAAAAAATGTTCGATAACGTTTCTACGTTGCAGAACGTCATTATCAAGCCAAAGTTTGTAAAAATTTCAGATGCATGTCAAACTCTAAAGACCGGCGCACACTAGAGCTATGTGCTTAGCAAAATGTCATTCGTGACTGTTGGCGTAAGGAGATAGCTCTCGTGTGCGGGCGATTTACGAACGACTTTTGTCATTCGTGCCACTTACGCCAAATATCTAACATGTTTGATAATTTCTGCCTCGCGTGCCAAAATCTTTCCGTGTGCGGCGAACGAAAGCTATCTGCTTACGGATTGTCGTAACAGCGCATGCGTAGTATACGAAAGTAAACATCCAAGATGGCGGCGCAAAATGAATTGCTGGCCGAGGCAATTTTAGAGGACAAACTTGTCGAACTTTGGCCTGAATATAAATGTTTATACGATGTGAGTTCTGCAGATTTTAGAAATAGGGACAAAAGGGAATGTGCGGTGAAAGAAATAGCCAGTAAGTTTGTCCTCTAAAATTGCCTCGGCCAGCAATTCATTTTGCGCCGCCATCTTGGATGTTTACTTTCTTATACTACGCATGCGCTGTTACGACAATCCGTAAGCAGATAGCTTTCGTTCGCCGCACACGGAAAGATTTTGGCACGCGAGGCAGAAATTATCAAACATGTTAGATATTTGGCGTAAGTGGCACGAATGACAAAAGTCGTTCGTAAATCGCCCGCACACGAGAGCTATCTCCTTACGCCAACAGTCACGAATGACATTTTGCTAAGCACATAGCTCTAGTGTGCGCCGGCCTTAAGATAGTAACATGTCAAACAAAGAGTTTAGCCTGAATGGAGTCACTTTGAATATTCAAAGTGAGGCCAACTAAGATTTGTTATATAAATGTATAAAATTTTCCCTCGGTAATTTCCATCATACTAGATCGATCGTTTTTGAAGTAATTTAAAACATTCGCAGTGCGTGTTTTATCAGACCTAAAGATATTCGGCTTCATGCACCTCGTATCTTTATAAGGTTGTTAAGATTGTTAAGGTAACAATCGTATCAAATGTACTCGGCAACTGGAATTTTATCGGAACTTCATTACAACCATGAACCATCAAATAAAAAAATCATCATCATCATCAATCAATTTTATTTAAAATGAAAACACGCTAGCCTCGCACAACTGAAAGCTGATTTACAGCAGAGGCGTGGTATATAAAACAGTAAAATATATAGAATATTATATGAACCCCCAACCTCCCCTCCTCCCCCAACATAGACTTGCTCCAAGTCTCTCTTTGTGGACATCTATATATTGTACATCTATATTGTACGTTACACGACGTACCGCTGAGGGGGAGAGGAGGAAAGAGAAGAGAGACTTGTAACATCTGGCAAGCAGACATACTTCCGGCTGGTCAATTTCGACCAGCCGGAAGTAGATGGCAGCATTGACTTATCACGTGTTTAGGGGGGGAAGGCGACATTTCAGAGTTATTTGTTTAGCACGAGTAATTTTGTATTCCCGAGATTTCTTGTAGATTTCACATCACTTTTGACTGCGTGCATTTGGAATTTTGGGCATTATTTTTGCAATTTATTGTAAACAACGATTATAAGAAGAACGGATAAATTACAAATCAGCCGTAATCGTCATAAACCTCGATGACCACCAGTGTCTTTGTGTTTGACAATTTATATTTCATTAGATATTTATATGCAAGGTCAGTATGTTTACGGGTTATCATATAAAATGATCATTCTAATGAATGAATTGATAAAACGAATTATTTCTATTAATTAATATGTACGGCCGCGTTTTTTACACGAAACGAAACGTTTAGCTTGATTGTTGAATAAATCGATGACTTGCTTACTTGCTTTCTGTTTTGAGCTTAACCACCGTTTAAGCTAAACGGGCTTGATCACCTGGCCCCAGACTCGGCCCCAGATAAACATTTTTGTATTATCGAGATCGAAACTATAGTAAATTGGAAACCGTGTCAATAATAAAAAACGTACAATGAACTTATGAACATGCGAAAATTGTCACGCCCAAAATTTATACAAATTGGCCAGTTGATCAAGCCCGTTTAGCTTAAACGGTGGTTAAGCTCAAAACAGAAAGCAACTAAGCAAGTCATCGATTTATTCAACAATCAAGCTAAACGTTTCGTTTCGTGTAAAAAACGCGGCCGTACATATTAATTAATAGAAATAATTCGTTTTATCAATTCATTCATTAGAATGATCATTTTATATGATAACCCGTAAACATACTGACCTTGCATATAAATATCTAATGAAATATAAATTGTCAAACACAAAAACACTGGTGGTCATCGAGGTTTATGACGATTACGGCTGATTTGTAATTTATCCGTTCTTCTTATAATCGTTGTTTACAATAAATTGAAAAAATAATGCCCAAAATTCCAAATGCACGCAGTCAAAAGTGATGTGAAATCTACAAGAAATCTCGTGAATACAAAATTACTCGTGCTAAACAAATAACTCTGAAATGTCGCCTTCCCCCCCTAAACACGTGATAAGTCAATGCGGCCATCTACTTCCGGCTGGTCGAAATTGACCAGCCGGAAGTATGTCTGCTTGCCAGATGTTACAAGTCTCTCTTCTCTTTCCTCCTCTCCCCCTCAGCGGTACGTCATGTAACGTACAATATAGATGTACAATATATAGATGTCCACAAAGAGAGACTTGGAGCAAGTCTACCCTCAACAACAAAGAAAAATAAAATCGAGTAAAGTAAGTAAATAGAGTTAACTATAATTAAGTCAACATGGTTCTAAAAGGACAGTTCCGCAATACTACGCTTAAATTGACTGAGCGAAGTCGCTCTTTTTGCATCTAATGAAAGATTATTCCACCGCATTGGTGCACTATATTTAAAGCTTCGCTTCAAAAAATTAGTTTTTGGTTTTGGAAGTGCTAGATCCGTTTCCTGCTTTCGTAAATTATGGCCTCTATTAAGTTCTCTAAGTCTTACGAGGCTTTCTCTTAAACATGGCGAACAATTTTCATTAAGTATTTTACACATTAGGGTACTCTTCAACTTAGCCCGCCTAAAATGTATATTATCCCATCCTAAACCTTCCTAAAGATCACTTGATCTAATCCTATCATCATATCTTGCTCTAGCGATAACTCTAGCCGCACGATTTTGTAGTATTTGCAATTTATCTTTTAATATTTTATTGCATGTATCCCACCGGGGAGAGCAATAATCAAAATATGGTTGAATTAATGAGTTGTATAATGTAACAAGAGAGCTCTGCGAACGAATGGTTTAATTCTCAATGCTCCTATGCCTGAATAGATCTTCTTGCATATGTCTTCAATATTCGATTCCCGCCGTGGTCAGGCATATTTTTCAAGCTTGCCCGGTGTGGATATACACTCAGAATAACATCACAAGCATCAAGATAAAATTACGTTAATGTTCATGATAATGCTTTTGTACAATTCACCAACTTTGTTGGTCAAATTTTGTTTAGATACTATGACAATAAGGTTTGCCTTAGAAGGATGGGATTGGAGTTTATTAACATTTAACCAATCTGTGACATTTTCTAAATCAGAATTAATATCATTAGCCAGCGTAACGTAGTCGTACGAAGAGGCGAAAATTTGGGTATCATCTGCATATAGACAGGATGTTGTTGTCTTTAGACAGTTGCCGAGTAAATCGTTGACATAAATTAGGAACAACAACGGGCCAAGTATGGAACCTTGTGGAACCCCGCAAATGATTTCACCTTTATTAGAGAGGCAGCCATTTACTTGGCGCTGTTGTTGCCGATTTGAGAGGTAGGATTGAAACCATGCAAGTTCAAGTTGAGAAACGCCGTAGAAAGCCTAGTTTTTCAAGTAGTATAATATGATCTATTGAATCGAAAGCTTTTCTGATATCAAGGAAAACCAAATTTCCAGTTATCACACATTTGAATTAGAGCTGTAATTGTGGAGTTCCCTGCATGGCCGAAATCCCGATTGGAATTTAGATATAAGGCAATTTTCGTTTAGATGTTTGTAAAGTTGTGTAAAGATTTGTTTTTCGAAGACCTTACTTATTATCGGAAGAATTTATATTGGCCTATAATTTCCCAAAGTTCGTTTGTTGCCTTCCTTATAAATCGGTTTAACTTTCGCATCTTTCCAATTTTCTACAAACACTCCAGTTGAAAGTGATAGATTAAAAATATAAGTTAAAGAGGGTGCAATTATATCTGCAGCAATGCGTAGCACTTTAGCCGGAATTTTATCAAGGTCGGCGCCTTTCGAAACATTTAGATGTCTTAGAGTTTTCAAAACATTATCCACTGGAATAAACATAAAACGAAAGGATGGAATAATTAACTTATTGTTTTCCAAATAAGTTTCAACCTTATTTGT